CTCAGGGTTAAAAGACTTAGAAAGAGAAAATTCAAGACCTGAGTTGCACTGCTGAAGGATATGAGCAAAAAACTCATATAGGAAACATCAAAAGAATATCATGAGATGGCATATAATAAAAAACTAGATTCCAGAAATTGCTAGAATACCAGTTGAAATATTTTTAGTAAACAAAGTAATTTACTCATCTGTGTTAAGAAATATGCTGGGCAGCTGACAGAGATCCATATTCACGTCCATTTCAAAGAAAGGCCATATCTCAAGCAGAATGTGGGAATTAATGAGCAGTGATAATATAATATTTAAATCCCATGCTAGCTAAATTTTACTCATGGTATTAAAAAAATTACTGTAGCCATACATTGATACGGAGAACTGTTAGAAGTTAGACGGATTTCTTAAAAGGGTATGAAATGAATGATGCCATTACTGTTAAAAGGATCTTGGCTGAAAACAGAGAATACTAGAAAGTAGTTTACCTATATATTTATCAGCTTCATGAAGGACTTGAGCTGTGTATATCATGACACATTAGGGTATCATGCCAAAGAGTGGGAATTCCAGAACACTTTGTAGATACATGATCTTCCATTCAATGAAAGAAAGTATCATGACAAACTAGTTCTGTATTGATGCCTTGATGTTAGAAATAGTGTTGGAGTGAATAATCTTGTAAACATATTATTTCTAGCATATGAAAAATATCTGTAGGATAAATTCCCAGTTGTAGGAGAGAGTGATTGAAGGTGTGGGTGTGAGCAGGTGCAAACTGCTCCATAAGGTTATAATCATGCACCATCTGTTCCAGCCCTGTTTAGAGGTCTGTCTTCTCACAGGCTCACAGTAGTCCATTAAGTTTTAATGTTTGATAGCCAGTTGGAAAATGGCATTAAAATTATGATCTGTGGGGGTGGGGGTTATGAGTTGTTGATTATTTTTCTTATATTATAAAATCTTAATTTAGATGAGTTTTAATAGTTCTGTGGTTAAAGGTTTTTTCCCTCCTTGTAAGACTATAGTTACTTGAGAAAATAATAAAATTTTTGGAAGTAGTCATTTCCCTTTTCATATTGAGTAATAGTTTAAAAATAACTTTTTATCACTACAAATAGAATCTGCCAACATTATTTTTGTGGATTTCCTTACTAAATTGAACACTGGTTTTTACATTAGTAAAATAGCTGGTCAATAGTTGTTCTTGTTAGGTGCTGAAATACATAAAATTGTAAGTCCTTAGCTTAATTTTCTGTTCATCTTAAATTTGTATTCTTGTCCATAGATGCTTGTGTTTGACCACAGAATTCTGTTTTAAAAAGAGAAAGCTATAGAAAATAGGATTTAAAATTGTTGGGGCTTGTTGTATTGTGCACAGCTTAATTAACACTAGTGCTCTGAGGTCCATATTAATACAGTGAGTCCTGTGATGACTGGAACTTGACAAGAGAGCTTTATTTCTGAGTCTAATAAGGTACAACCTTAAACCTTATCTGTTATCTTCTATTAGTGGAAAATATTAGACTGGCTTCTGACAAGTTTTAGTTTAGGTAGCTTTTTCTTGAAGGGAAAAAGATTTCTTAAAAATGAGTATTAATAAATGTTCATTAAAATTCTTAAAATAAAAAATGAATATTAAACTAAATATTTTTTAATGTTTTCTTACAAGGGGTGGGGGGTTTTAAATTTTGCTTTTGTAGGTTTGCTGAATTGTAGATTGTATATATTTCTAATATGCATATACACTTGTAAAAGTGAAATAAAATAATGCTCACGTTAGAATTACTGCCTTTTAGTAGTAATGATGCTATTATTCAACTTAGAGCTTAGTTTAGGGGATGAGGATGAAGTGGTAGATGATTTACTGAAAACAATGCATGGTTTCTAAGGACTAACCTACAAGAAAGGTCATAACTTCTCCATATCAGGATGAATCACTTATACCAGATTTGGGCCAGGTTTGTGAGCACCTGACCATTATAAGATTTACCAACGCAATCAAAGGAGTTCTTACTACAAAATATTTGACTCTGTAATTTAGAGACTCCCTTTCAAGGATTAAAAATTGTTATTATGCTTTAACACAGAAAGAGGAGCGTTTGAATAACACAAAGCCGTTTTCTAATGGTACTTGGCTTTCTATTGTTACTTGCTGTCAAGTTGGTACTGACTTGTAAGGGGATCCTTCAGAGGGTTGTCAGGCTGTAAATCACACAGGAGACCATTGCCCATCCTTCTCCCAAGTAGCAGCTGATACATTGGAAATATTTTTCCTTGGGTTGACAGCACAACTCACTGCCTCTAGAGCTCCGTATGCTTTTTAAGATTTTTCAGCTTCCTAAACAAAAGAATGATGTTCGTGCTGTCAAGTATGACTCACTAGTGATCCTGTGAACAACAGAACTGAACCTTGCCCTACCCTGTGCTGTCCTTAACACCTCTAACACACTTGAGCCTCTTGTTGCTGCAGTCAGTCTCATTGAGAGCCTTCCTTTCTTTTGCCGTCTTGGCTCTACCTTTCCGTGGAATAGCCTCTCCTGGCAGCATGTGAGACAAAGCTTCATCATCTTTGCTGCAAAGGAACACTCTGGATGTTCTTTTCTCCAAGATATATCTGTTCTTTTTGCAATCCATGGGACATTGAGAACTCTTCTCTGATAGCACAGCTCAAAGGCTATATTGGTTGTCTAAGGATCATGAGAAAATGCCTTTTCTAAGAAGTTACCTCCCTTATTCTCAGAGTTGAACCTCTTCTGGAAATGCACTAGATACAGTAACATTATAAAAAAAGGTCCATGCTAATGATTTTACAATTAAATTGATACTCATTTAAAGCACTCTTTATAGTCATACACACAGCTCTGAATTTGAGGTCATTATAATCACTTCCTTTCACAGTCTTGGTGTCATGATAGAAAAAAGTCAAGGATTGAATCTATTAGCAACCTTGTGTCCTTGAGCAAGTTACATGAGCTGAATTTGCTCAGTTGTAAAGTGAGAATGTTATTCAGACTTGTTCAACAAACTCACTAAAATAATTGAGTGCTCTTTTTCTCTACCTGCTTGATTTGTAGTTTGGAGAGAACTGAAAAAAGACAAATGTCAAAATTTTACTTTTTTTAAATAAAGAAATTAGCACTATTTTTCATTTTACTAAGTGAATTTTAAGTAGCTATTATATCTCTGTCTGAATTTCTATAAAGGAAGCAGGGGAGAATTTTAATTTCTCGGATTTTTTGAAAATGTGAGGCTGAATTATTTTTGTTATGTGCTTGTGACCCTATATACAACAGCTCTGAAGCCTGCCGTGTACTGAGCCAGTCACTGACTCCCAACACACCTACCCCTGTTTCCCCAGTTACTGTATCAATCCATCTCATCCAGGGTCTTCCTCTGTGCTGTCCCTTCTGGCCACAAGCCCAAAGAAAATCTGAGGCAGAACTTCTAAATCCTAGCCTCCAAACTTTTTGTTAGTATGAAAAAAGTTTTTCCTTTAGAGAATTCTACTGTATTTCTCTTTAAATCCAATAAAATTCAAGCTAATTTTGTTCATTTGATAAACTCAATAAAAGTAAATAAATACAACTTAAAGAAAATAATATGGTCATGCTTACCTTTCGAAAGAGTTCTGCATTTCTATCTCGTTTCTTTATATCCATGATTCATCTCAAATGCCAGTGAGGGTTTGACATTAAAAAAAATATTGCCCATAATAAACACGTTTCTTTTTTAAAAATATTCCTGCCTTTGCTATAACTATAAAAGATTGTAAGTTTTTATTATCTTTACTTTATGATTATTCATTGAAATATTTGCAATTGTTTATCTCGGGGTTTTATTTTTGTTTTGTCAAATTGTGACCAGTATTTGATACAGTATCTTTTTTTGATATAGTATTTGTGGTATCTTTCATTGAATTTTACACCAAACACTTTTGGTTTATATAGTTTTTCTAAAGGTTATAGTGACATAGTTATACTTTACACAGTTCCTTCAAGCACTTAAACCTAGCCTACATGAGTATTAGTTAATCCTTTACGGTTATTAGGTATATAGAGTTCTTTTATATCATATATGTCAGGAACAACTAAAATGGAATTCTGTATTTTAGTGTGGCTAGTACCTAAATAAAGAAATCTGTATTTTTAATGTACTAATTTTAAAAGTTTCAAGAATTGAGAAACGGGAAGCTGGTAACTTAGACCAGGTCTTTCATTTTATCTGCAGGCTAGTGCAAACAGAAGTTATATGACTTGCTGATGGTCATACAGGTAGTAACAGAAGTAGCGTTCTCACCAGGTCTACTGAGACTATGATCTAAAATGCACCACTGTACTGGACCAGGGTAGTCCTGAGCCTCAGTCTCCTAACAGCGTTGGAGTTGCAACATTATTTAAAATAATCTTCTGATATTTTATAATCTACTCATCTCAGGGTATGCAGTATAACTAAAAGAAGACAGTTACTCAACTTCTTGTGCTGATTATCTTCCCATAGTTTATAGTGGTTTGAATTTAGGATGTACTTAAGCAGCTATACTACTACTATGTCCCATTTCCCCCCATAGGAAAAACCACAAACCTTATTATTAGGTGCTTTTTGCCAGCAGGTAACCTACAGCCAAAGCATGTAGGACAGTAAAAGAGTGAATTCTTACTCCATACAAATACTATTTGTCCAGAAACTTCCAGAATCCTTTCTTAGCCACAAAATTTAAAATGTTAAATCTAGATATTAAAACACAGAAGCGTACAGAATAAAAGTCATTAGCAGTTTTGGGGAAAGAGTGCTATTGACTCAGTGTATCCTTAAGAGACCATTGATTTGAGAACTCAGCTCTTCGGTAGAATTGAGAGAATCTTGGGAAAATTAGAAACATTGAAATTACAGAAGATCTTTTACTGAGATTTTTATTTTAAAAATGAGACCTGAATATCAAAAATATGACAAATAGACTTAACTATTTTAAATTAATTTACTAAAATATTCTCATCTTCTTTTTCCAGTGCATCTGGGGGAGGTGTTGTAGCCATTGACAACAAAATAGAACAAGCAATGGTAAGTAAAAGTTTAGCGTTCTCTTGCTTCATAGATTGGTTGGTGAAGCATTTGGTTTTTATCATTAATTTGCCAACTGTTAATTTTCCAGGAAGTCAACTGTTGTTGTTTGTATGTGTTGTCAAGTTGGAACCGGCTCATAGATGTCCCTTCAGCAAGTATCCAGATGCTATAAATCAGGAGATTGCTTGTCTTTCTCCTGTGAAATTCGAACCATGTGCTTTGGAGTTGACCATACAACTCCTTCCACCTCAGCCACTAGAGTTGATAATAATGTAATTTTTCTAAATATAATTGAAGGTTTTAGAAATACACATAAGTAAATCTATCCTCCATTTCCATCTCTCATGTGCCGTAACTACTATGAGAAACATTTTTAGTCATGGATATATACTTATGTTCCAAAAGAACAGCCCTCATCTAGAAATCATTACCATCCATTAGTCAGGTACAGATAACCATTTTACTTAAGTTTAATAGGGTTGGTTCTGATCCTGATTTTGTCTGTTACTGTCAATTTTCTGGAAAACATTAATTTTGTTGTTATTCCAGTAAGATATTTTGGTCATGTAAAATATTTTGATGCAAGTTTTTAAAAACTAAATAGATAGCTATAAGTAAGTAGTACTAGTCTCAAACTTAAAAGTCAACCCTAAAATTTTTAAAACTCTTTATGTCATTTCATGTATTGTTGTGTGCCATCAAGTTAGAACCTACTCATGCGGAGTAGATCCTCCAGCAGGTTTTCAGAGGCTGTAAATAGCATAAGAGGAGACAGCCCAGCTTCCTCCCAGAGAGAAGCGGGTGGATTTGAGCTGCCTGCCTCAGTGTTGGCAGCACAGTGTCTTCCCACTAGGCCACCAGAAGAGTATTAAGACTAATATCATATAATCTCCTTTGTAAGGGTACTTTTTTGGGGTTGTGGAGTTGTTTGGTTTTGGGTTTTTTTTAACCTTAACATCTAAGTTTATAATTGACATTTTAAAGAAACAGGTTCTTTTAGGAATCAGACTTAGCACTGTCAATGGGCATATATGAGGAAGGCCCTAAATAGGCTGGAATCCTACAAATTTTTTTCCCTCTTTTTGTTTGTTTACATTCTTGCTTTTTCTCCCCCCCAGGATCTGGTGAAAAGCCATCTGATGTATGCAGTAAGAGAAGAAGTGGAAGTTCTAAAGGAACAAATAAAAGAATTAGTTGAAAGAAACTCTTTACTTGAACGAGAAAATGCACTGTTAAAATCTCTTTCCAACAATGATCAGTTATCCCAGCTCCCCTCCCAACAGGCCAATCCTGGTAGCACTTCTCAGCCACAAGCAGCGGTAGCGCCGCCTCCACAGACAGCGCAGCCTCCACAGCAACCGAATGTCTCCTCTGCGTAAAGCTCTCCTGCCTCACGAAAAATGACTGAAAGCAGTCTGTCCTGTGTGCCACTGCTCTTTTTTCCACTCTATACGAAAGCAAGTAGCCATGCTTCGGTTGTGTGTTTGGCCTTTTCAGTATTAGACAATCACTCAGCAAGAGCTTTTCCTCTCTTTGAGATGTCATACGGCGCTGTCGATATCCAGTTCCATGTCATCAGTCAAAAAGGAAAATAATAGACGGGGTTTGTTAACGGGAGCAAAGTGTGCATATTACCTGATGCGCATGAGTGGGGTCTTTAAGAGTGTGGTGGCTCACCCATGTTTTCAGTTACCCATGGATTGATTACCTTGAGCCTTCACCTTAGAAATAACAGTTCATCTAAAGAGCCACTTTTTTTTTCAATATCAGTAACATTTGCCTATATAAGTTTTCATTTATTTGTGTTTTATTTATTACAGGGCTGCTATTTTCATAATGTACATGAACAATGTCACAGAACTTTTTTAATTTTTTTAAATATAAATATCAGTAAAGGAATTGAAAGACAGGATTGCATTTAATAGATAAAACGTTTAGGCAATAATTGAACAAAAGAATCCTGCCATATTTCTAACACTAATGGCAATTTACCTTTGGTATTTATTTTCAGTAGTAAAGACCCAGCTTGAATGTAAATTTTGTATAGTGTAAGTATGAAGACCATAGTGCAACTGTACAGGTAGTCACCAGTTATTGTGATATAATAAATAATTGGGCTATTTTGATGAAGAAAACTCTGTTCATTTGTTTCTACTTTCTAATAGAGAAATTGCCATGATTCCTCTGCTTTTTGACATTTCATATGGTTTTGGTTTTGTTTTTTTGGGTGGGGGGTGGGAATAAAAAAAGCTGTGAAATTGTTCAACCTACTTTGTAACCAAAGAAGCAAAGCTGTGTAATGGAGTTGTTTTTTGTTTCTGTTTTGGTTGGTTTTTTTGTTGTTGTTGTTGTTGGGGGTTTTTTTTGTTGGGGTTTTTTTTTTTAATAATGCACATTTCTTTATGTCTTTTTGTTTAGTGTTTTCTCTGTCACCATTTTCTTTGCTGTCTAGCATGATCTGCATGACTTATACTCTTTGAACCACTTTCGTACCTCATGTTTTTATCCAGCACTCTTATTGTAATATGTACTAGTCTGTGAACAATGTCAAAAAAAGAACGAACAGGTGGTATAGTAGAGCTGAGCTAGTGTGCTATATACACTAGTTGTAAAAAAAAAAATGAAGTGAGCCATCTTTTGTTCATTTAAAATGGTGTTTTGAATTTCATATGCAGAAAACATTTTGTTACATTGCAGATTTTAATGTATTTAATAAATGCAACATGCAGATTAAGTGCAGTGTATACTGAGTATTTAAATTAAAATGTACATTTCATAAATACAGTTTCAAGAGAAAGCATCATTTTGTGTATACTAACACATTAAGTGTATGTCAGAAATTGATGTATAAATATATATTTTAACACATTTTCTGAAATTAAACTGCAGTTTTGTTGAATTATTTGGCTCTATATGTGTTCAAAATTTGATTAGATGTATTTTCATATTTCAAAATATTAACTGAAAATCTGTTATTAATGATTTAATGACAGTTTTATAATTTTAAAGTAAATAATTTGAAAGAATGAAAAAATAGCAATATTTGTATTCAATACTCCTATTATGTTGATGATACTTAAGAAGGAAATCCTTATCTACCAAAACTTGTACTTGAACTTAAAGAGGTGCCTGTAGAAATTAACCTGCTTTGTGTAGTCAACTAACAAAGTGAAGATTAGTAAGAACCAAGAGTTTGTCTATTTGAAGTAAATAGATAACCACGCTCATAAAGGTTAAACTGGGGCATAAATGAAGTTACCAAAAAGTGTCTATTCTGGTTGTGTTCCAGGGTACATTGGTCAGCAAATAAAATTTTAATGTTCATGAAATTTTATTAAGAACTAAGCCTATCATTTGGTTAAGGAGCCATAATTTTAAATAAATTTTAAATAAATCCACTGCAGGTGAGGTTAGATTGTGAACCTTCACTGTTAAAAAGTTTCTTTTCATGAAAAGAATTTCATGCTCAGATTCTAACCCTATGTTAATTTAGTACAGGTGGGGGAAACCTAATAGTAGTGATAGGAATGAGATTTTTGTGCATATGACAAATTTTGGTACTGAGGCTACAACATAGTACAAACATAAAAGTGATAGTTAATTAAATCTTAAAACTGTTGCCACTTTTTAAATTTTTAACAACAAAACCCTGGTAATACAATTATGTTATTATGGATCACCAAGCTGGAATCGACTCATGGACCCTTCTGCAAGATTTAGAGGCAGTAAATCGTGTGGGTGTAAATCATGACCCATCTATCGTTGGAGCAATTGATGAAGTCAAACCCCATGCCTTGGGGTTGGCAGCACAACCCCTTCCCACTAAACCACCAGCTCCATGACCGGGAGGAAAACTAAGATAAGGTTTTAACTCCTTTACAGTGTAACAGTAAAATAAAATATTAAATAGCAAACTGAGGAGGACCTGAAGCGCTTGCTGCAGAAGCTTGAGGACTGCAGCCTTCGATATGGATTGAGGCTCAGTGTCAGGAAGACAAAAGATTCTCACCGCTGGACCAATTGGCAGCATCAGGATGGATGGTGAAGAGATTGAGATTGGTACACAGCTTTAGTTTGCTTGGCTCCACAGTCAACTCTCTTGGCACCAGAAGCCAGGAAATTAAGAGACGTATTGCCATGGGAAAGTTTGCTGTTAGGGACCTCTCCAGAGTACTGAAGAGCAATGATGTAACTCTGGAGACTAACGTGTGTTTGATACAGGCCATGGTCTTTGCTATCACTTGTTATGCATCAGAGAGTTGAACAATGACTAGGGAGGATAGAAGGAGAATTGATGCCTTTGAGCTGTGGTGCTGGAGAAGAGTATTGAGTGTACCATGGACTGCTAGGAAAACAAACAGTTTCATCCTGGAAAGGGTTAAACGGGGCAGCTCCTTGGAGGCAAGGATTCTGAGGCTCCATCTGACATACTTTGGACATGTTGTAAAGAGGGAACAGTCCTTGGAGAAAAACATGCTTGGTAGGGAGGAGGGACAGCACAGGAAGGGAAGGCCCCTCTATGAGGTGGGTTGATTCAGTGACTGGGGTAATTGGGATGGGAGTGTCGAGACAGTGCAATTCGCACAGGACAGAGCAGAGTTTAGGGCTGTTGTACAAAGGATCGCTATGAGTCACAAACAACTTGATGGCACGTAACAACAACATAAAAGCTTTTTTGTTTAATGACTTGACAAAATTCTTAAAATAATGCCTGCCATTTACTGTCCCATCTTTCTTTGCACCAGCCCACCCAGCCAGGAAGGGTAAAGGAACTGACAAGAAGTCTTTACATTTAAACTTCACTCACCTGAGCCATGTATCCACCTGAAAGCCAGGGACAAATACACCAAGTTTGGGATTATATTTACTATTTGACCAATTGTTATGTGATACAAATTAAAGCATTTCCTCAGTTATTCTTTTAAGATTGGAAGTGCCTTTCAGTTTTACCTTAGAGAATTTTGGGTCCTTTGTTCTCAAGTAATTGAAATCTCAGTTCTGGATGCACAGGAAGACCAGCTCTCTATCCTTAATGTCCTGGTCGCAATGTCCACAGATGAAGGTGCCCTCCCCTCCCCCCTTCCATTCGTCAAACAAAATTACCAGTAGGAAAAAAGATGTCTTCTAATGGTGCCTACAGTACAAGTACAAGTATTCTTCAAAGATTATAAATAGGTTTGATCATACAGTTAGTCATACTAAAGAAGGTAAGAGGAGCAGGGTGAAGTAGTATATGCAGCCACTTGAACTCACTTGGATATCAAAGGTTTCCAATTCTTTTCCCAAAATTCTGAGCTCATGAGAAGTACTGAGATAAAAATGTTTTTCTGTGTAACTCCCAGTGATTGCTCAACATACAAAGAATTGTCACAGATTCTTTACAGAGATTGTGGTATTTAATCCAAGTTGCAAATTCGAATCACTGGTGAATCTTTTAAAAAAAAAATTTAGAAAAATACTTTGTGGACTTGAAACTTCAATAACCAGAATGCCTCTACGTTTCCTTTTCTATATGTTGTTACGTACCATCCAGTGGGAACCAAATCACACCTGTCGGGTTTTCAGAGACAGTTAATGCCAAGGGAGGACGCTGTCCAACTTTCCCCCTGCAGAGCAGCTGACGAGTTCAAGAGTCTGCCTTTGGGTTGGCAGTACAGTCCTTTACCATTAGGCCTTGCATGCCCACATATACCCAGAAATAAAACTATGTTCTGGGAAAGTTTTATGACACTTTAAAATCAAGTACTTGTTTAAAGGACGCTCATTATAGGTACTTTGTGATACAGCTCATTGTAATACTGTTGAAAGCCCAGCCCTCAAGATAACACAGTCTAGTGGAGGATGTAAGCATGCCAACGGAATAATTGTTAGTACATAACAGGCAAGGATGGTTTTGTCATCCTCAAAGAGACGTTATCTGAGGGTTGGCCAAGGGGACACACGAAAAACACTAGTCAACTGCTTAGGGCTTAAAGGATACTGAGAAATGCAGTGAAGGCTCCTTAGTCCAAGAGATGTTTTCACAGGAGGCAGTAAGGCAATAGTGGTTTTGCATCTGTGAATTCAGAAAGCAAGAACAATGAACTGAAATGGAGGATTGTTTTTTTCATGTTCAGTTCTGTATTTGATATTTTCAAAAAGTAATCCATTCCAGAAGCAGATAGGAGATGTAGGTTCGAGGGGGCTAAAACTGAAGGGTCAGGAATCAAAGTACTATAGAAGAATCTTGTGAAGGGCTTTAAGGAAGTGTGTCTGGAGTTCATTTTTTTCCTTCATGACGGACATTGTGTTTCCAACATCAGGCCTCCTGTTGGATTTCGGTTTGTTTTTGTTTGTTTGTTTGTTTTTGTTTGGGGTTTTTTTGTTTTGTTTTTGCTGCACCAAAGATCAGTAGGCCACTAATGCATAGTTGAAGGTTGAAACTATCTTACCTCCACCAATCATATATCTAAGGAACAAATGTCTTTGTTTCCTGTTAAAAGAATTTCAGGACTTTAACAGAAACGGTAAATGGAAGACCCCTGGCAAGTCACTTTAATCCTCTGTAAACCAAGCTGTAAAGGTAAAACCACAAAGTTCTTTCATGGTGACTAGAGTTACCAAGTCCAGAGTCTGCTACTTGTAGTTATTCCGTACTCCCCAGAAAGTTAACCCCGAGGTCTTGTCCAACAGAATCACTTTTGCCGGGCCTAGTCTCATTCTTTGGCACAGGCCAACCAGCAGGCTTCTTCCTGTAAATCCCTTACCTAAAAAGCCACTTAGCTACCTCCTCCAGCTTCACATCCCTTAGTGAGTCTTGTTTCAATCTCTAGCGATACTAACAGTTTATTCCTTGTTTTAGTTAGGTGTCATTGAGTAGGCTCCAGTTTATCCTAAAATTTGACAAAAGAGCAAAACCCTACCTGTTCCTTCAGCATGTTCACAGTTCCTGTACTCAGAATCCATTGCTGCCACCAGTGTGTCAACCCATCTGTCTCCTTGAGCATCTTCTCTTTCTCTGACCATCTGCTTTTTCATGCATAATGTCCTTTTGAGAACTGGCACCTCCAAAGTTTACACACTCTTCGAAGTCTCGCCATCCTTGCTTCTAAGGAATACTCCAGCTGCATTTCTTCAAAAGACAGACGTTTTTATTCTTTCGGCTGATCCACGATACATTCACTGTTCTTCTCTAACACCCCTATTCAAAGACATCCATTTTTCCTTCAATCTTCCTTATTTATTGGGCAACTTGCACACATATGAAGCAAATGAAAAGACAATGGCTTAGGTCAGAAATACCTTTATATTTAAACTGACAACCTTGCTCTTTAATTTAAAGGGATCCTTGGCAGCTCATTTACCCGATGAAATTTGATGTCTCTATTGCTGTTTCCATAACAGCATGGATCCGAGTAAAAAGAATTTCAATTGTTTCCTCCATTTATCATGCTTAGTGTTCCAGTCGAAAGGATTTTTGTTTTCTTTGTGTTAACGGAGGGGAGCTCTGGTGTTAGAGGGAGCTGCACTGCTAACTGCGGCAGTTCACATCTTCCAGAAGGTTCTCAAAAGAATGATGCCATTTACAGCCTCAGAAGTGCAGTGGAGCTCAGCTATTCGTTCCAACTTGACAGCATTGAGTTTGAGTTTTATGTTGAGGTGTAATCTATACTGTAGTCTTCCATCATCTTCAAGTATGTTGTTCAGGTTCCTTTCACTTAACAGAAAATAAGGTTGCGTCAGCTGCATATCCCAGGTTGTTGATGAGTTAGGGAATTTTATTTACATTCTTTTTCTGACTTTCTACCTATATCATATATTTCTATCCCAACTAAAAAATTATCTGTAGTAATGTGCACTTTTAAATTTGTGTATTACTGTATTGGTGGTTTGTTTTTATTTAAGCATCTCTTGTTTA